ATGAAGGACTATAGTTAATGTACGCTAAAAAATTTAGTTCAATTATTTTTTATTTAATAAGAACATACACACACAGAGAGAGAGGGGGAGGGAGAGAGAGTGTCAAGAAAAAGATACTAAAGTGCTATAAGGAAAAAGTGAAAAAATATGAAAAAAGAATCTTATAATAAACAGTTACAATTCTATATATACTTGTCTAATGCAAATATTATTCAAATCATATATTTTAAAAACATATTTAGATTTAGTTCAATTCTTGACATCTCAGTTAACTACTGATCATTTCTGAAAGACAGTCATTTAGACAAGGAATTGGTTCAAGTGAACCAGTGGTTTTGTTTGGTAACATTCCATTATTTATCTAAAGCCAAAAAACATAATAATTATGGAGTTTGGGTGCTATAGACATTGTAAGAGATAAAATATCTCAATTGCCTGAGGATTAGACTAGGCCAATGTAAGCTCAGGACAGGGATGTAAAGAGTATGAAGTTACTATCAATAATAAAGATTCTTGTGAATTGGACCTAAAATCTGTAATTTAGTAATATTATAAAATTTACTTATAAAATAGAACTATTGGTACTGATTTTTCTGGTCCCTGCCTGCTGACCCATCCAGATTTGCTTGTTCTGTAATTCTTCAGCTGAGAACTGAATGAGATGCAGTGCAATACTTCGAAGGAAGATGGCTTATTCATCTTGAGCAAGAAAATCTGAAGTGGAATTCAGGTCATGGTTAGAAGCCCAGATTAGGCAGAATTTCTAGTCAAAATAAAGCTTCTATTTCATTAGCATGGATCCAAGTAAAAGTATTCTTTGTATCCTAAAACTCAACACAAGAAGACTGGATGGATGGAATCATGCATTTGCTATATATCTTCCAGCTTTTATGTCAGCATGTTGAGTATCTAATGCTAATGTCTTTCTGACATCTGAGACACACACAAAAATGCACACATACATACCTTGCAAGAAATAGTTTAGTCAACAAGTTGGATTTAATTCCTGGTGATTATGTGGACCTATGCTTATCAACTTGTCCTGACTTAATAGCACAGAGTTCTTCCACATTTGATTCCATCCATCCACTATATTTTTCATCTTCTGCTTTCTAAACACTATCATTTATTTTTAGAATTAATCATTTTAGCATAGCTGCTAAATGATAATTACTGCTTTTATACAGCAGTATCACAATTCTATAATCACTGCAAATAAAAAAATATGTTTTTACAAACCTAGAAGTTGTGTTTCCAAAATTTTAATTGATTGATAGAAATTAATATAGTTTCAATAATTATTAGTAATATCCATTAATAAACAATAAACACCTTTACCTAATCTAAAAATATATTGCCTTGTCTTCAACATGCCATGTACATTAGCTCCAAATATTTTTTAAAAAATACTTCAACATGGCTTGCAATTTAGAAACATTCTGTAAGTTAAAAACCTAGGAAATCTCTGAGTAAAAACCATTATTTTTGGAAAATCTTATTTTGCATTGGCATCAAATGATTACAATACGAAATACTGTGAATGTGAAACTTGCAACAGTTCTTTCCATCTCAAATTTAATGCCGTAAGCAGCTGAGAGTTTTGAATACCGTTGAAGGTCATCCCTTAGCAAATAATTGAGGGATGAATACAGTAATAGCCAATCATGAAGCAGTGCAATATTCTGAGAATTAATTAAGAAATGTACAAATGTCACCAAATTCCAAAATACTTTAAAACAACCTTTATAATGTGATGAGAACAAAATGTTTTGTTCTTTAACAGTTATAAATGATCATGGGAAAATTTGGCAATGCAAAACGTAAGAGCTTGGCTATTTGCCTTTTAGATTTGGCCCAAAACAACCCAAATTCTTAAACACAATCTTATTTGCACCCTTAAAATAATCTGATAAATGCAAACTGATGCAGAAATTTATGTATAATGCTAATAGACCATTTTATGTAGGGAATCATTCTGGTTTATCTTGACTTTATTGTATGAAGCCATACAAACCATGGGTTTGCTTATTAAACAATTCTCAATAATTTTTTTCTTTCAAGGCAGAAGTTATATGATCATACAAGTAGTCTCAACTTACAACAACAATTGACCCCAAAATTTCTGTTACTAACTGAATTGAGTTTTGCCTCATTTTATGACCTTTTTTGACAGTTGTTAAATGAATGACTGTCCCATTGACTTTGCTTGTCAGAAGATCGCAAAAGGTGATCACACAACCCCAGGACACCGTAACCGTTATAAATATGAACCAATTGCAGAGCGTCTGAATTTTGATCAAGTGACCACAAGGATGCTGCAACAGTCATAAGTTTGAAAAATGGTCATAAGTCACTTTTTTCAATGCTCTATGTTTCAATATCATTTTCTTGTGTTTTAAGTATCATAGAAGATACTGTGATCACATGGGTAGTAAAAGGGAAATCTGATCCTGTATCTCTCTCATGCCATTTCTTCCTTATGACACTAGTAGTCTATAGTCCAGGTATGCAGTCCTGAACTTATTTACCTATGAGATAGCTCTGTTGAGCCCCATAGAGTTTGTTTTTAAATAGGACTGAAAATTCTGGGTGTTTTGCTCAGCTTTTAACTGTGAACACTTTAAAAACAGATTAAATTTCCTCTTCTTAAATTTGGTTTGGTTTGGATGAGGATGGACAGTCTTGAAATTAAGAATCTCTTTTGAATCCGATTACAATCCAATATGTATAAACTTCCTTGAAGACAAATCTTCCTGTGTTCAAATGACGCTTACTCCTAGATACACTATTAGTGAACTATATTTAAAAAAAAAACACACATACACATATTAATTCTTAGTTAGCTGGATTAACCTAATTGCTTGGGTTCCCACAATTTAAGAAACCATAAATTAGCCAGCCTAAACTGTTGTTCCAACTTAGTAGGCTTGATTGAATATCAGACTGCAAAAAGATGTATTGTTTCTAGTGATCAGTAGACCCCCAAATCTCTATCTTGCTTACCTATTTAAATGCTATATCTGTACATTGTAATAAACCGGTTTATTTAACCATGATTTATAAAATAATTGGCAGTTCATATAGCATACTAAATCATAAAACATAGTTTACAAGCCATTAATGACTTTGTTCTTATGACATGCTGAGACACAAAGAAACCACCTTATGATTTATCATGCTGTATGAATCCAGCCTCAGGGTAAAAAGTAATACTTTACATATTTCAACAGGGTACATAACAATTCAAGAGATAATTAAAAGATTAAAACTCGAAAGACAACCAATCATTGCAAATGATCACATAATAAACTACAAATCTACAATAACTAATTAAAACTATTTAGTATTAAAATTAATAATACATGGAACCTCATACCGTAGCAAATAGCTGTACAATCTGAATAATGAAAAAATCCATGAACAATAAAATTGTTAAAAGTTTAGATTTCAGATTTTACAATATCATCCTATCTGTGGTCACCATTTGCTGTATTCTGACTGAAATACATTTTCAACTCTTATTTAAGATGTGATAATTGATAGCTGCTCAAAGAGCCTTAAGATGCTCATTCCATAGTCTAGAAGCAGGTTCTGGAAAGCCCCAAGACATAAGGTCTCAGGGGAAGTAAGTCCCAATCCAAACCACTTGTCAACCTCCCTGAATGACCTGAAATACCAAAAATAAGAAAGAGATAAGGCAGGATTGGGTCATAAGATCCTTAGAAATAAAACCAAGAATTTGCATATGTTGGACCTTTGCTCTTATAGGAAGCCAACGAATGGAATATTTTTCAAGGAAAAGGGTACCAGAAATCTCTCAAATCGATTGAAGCAATATCACTTGCTTTAGGCCAAATTAATGATCTTTTTTTTCTTTGTTTTTATTGGGAATGGATTTTTAAGTTAATTGGAAGAGCAAGAAGGAACAAAGAGAAGGAATAAGCAAGGAGCAGCAAGGAGAGCCAGTTTGGTCTAGTGGTTAAGGCATACATACATACATGCATGCATACATAGATAAGTCTTTTCAGGAACTGGAGCCAATGTGGTGGGAGGTTAGAGTAAACCTTGCTCTCATTTTTTCCCCGTATGATGGAATGTTATAAAGGGAAGAAACAAAATGTGGTATACTGGAGAACTTTATTTCATATCTGATCCAGTTTCTCTTCTTGATATTCCACAGGCTACAAGGGAGATTAATCTCAAAGTAATCCTCTTTTGGGTTCAGATTAAACATATCTTCCAGAGACAGTTAAGTAGCCCAGTGGCAAATTTGGAAACAAGGTGTGTCATTAACACACTTCATTTCATTGTATCCACAAAAATGGCCAATGACCTGCCTTAGTAGGTTGTGGGCATCTGACCTTCCAAATCCGCTGCCATAATAAGTGTGGCAAGTCATAAAACAATTTATTACTACAAAGAGTGGTCCCCATTAAGCCTATTTAATATCACCTGTAGTGGGGAGTCCATTTCCAAACCAAACATTGGCGCATGGTCACATACTACTTTTTCCCCCCAATGAACATCTCTGAAATGCCCAGGCACATTTTGATAAATAAAAAAAAGTTAGAGGCTGGTGCTTTCTCAATGCAGCACACCTACTTTTGATTCATTACTATTTTTTTTTAAATAAAAAACTATTAAAAACAGAGAGAGCAGTAGGTCTCAAGAAGTTATCTGGAACTCTGTCCGCAGGGTACCACACCCTAGACCTAAGAACAAACCAGTGGTGGAATCCAAATTTTTTACTACCGGTTCTGTGGGCGTGGCTTGGTGGGTGTGGCTTGGTGGGCGTGATGGGGAGGATACTGCAAAATTCCCATACCCTTCTCACTCCTGGGGGAAGGATATTTCAAAATCTCCATTCCCATCCCACTCTGGGGCCAGCCAGGGTTGGTATTTGCTGGTTCCCCAAACTACTCAAAATTTCCACTACCGGTTCTCCAGAACCTGTTGGATTTCACCCCTGGAACAAACCCTATCGGCTACTCGACCCTCACCTCGCCTTTCCACTCCTTATTTTTTAAAGCCCTTTCCCCAAAGCTCAGCATCCCCGTCGACAAGCACCTCCAGCGCCCGGGGAGACGCGCCGCCGTCGCAACGGCCAGCCTCCTTGGCCTCGTCGCACCGCCCTCTTCCCCCCCCCACTCCAATGCCCCTATCTACCTGGTGGCTTGCCGAACTACAGTTCCCAGGATGCGCCGGTGATTTTCTCCCCCTCAAGCCAGTGAGCTGGGGGAAGAGTTGATGTAATGCGGTGAAGTCACAAAGCCCTCGGGGATGGGGGAAAGGGGAGAGAGAAGGGTGGGGGGAGGGAGAGATGCAGGATGGTGGCGGCAAGAACAGGAGCGCCGGCCACGCTACCGCGGCGCTGGGGAGAGGCGTGAGACGGAGGGGGGTGTAGATAAATAAAACCTGGCTTCGTTTAGCAACCTCCTTCCCTCCCCTTCCCGCAAAGCTTCGAAGCAGCGGCAGGTCTCTGGGCGAGGCAGCCGAAGCGCAGGGGCCGCGGCCTCTCCTCATTCTTTTCGCCCCGGTCCGGAGACGGGAGGTCGTGAAGAGCCGGGAATGCCTCGGCGCCGCCACCGTTTTCTCCTCTGACCGGGCTTCGGCTCCTTTCTTTCGGCCTATGCCTCCCCCGCCGCTAAAATAACCAGCAGCCGCCCCCCCTCCTCCTCCTCTTTCCAAAGGTGTATATTTTTTATTTATTTTTTATTTATTTTATTTTTTTAACCCTCCCCGAGGTGGGAAGAAAGGAATCCTCCGCTGCCGCCTCGCCTCGCCTCGCACCAGCCGCGCGCACCCTTCGGTCCGCCGATCTCCGAATCCGCCCCCGCCGTCGGTCGAGATGGCGGACCCCGCCGAATGCAGCATCAAAGTGATGTGCCGGTTCCGACCCCTCAACGAGGCGGAGATCCTGCGCGGGGACAAATTCATCCCGAAATTTAAAGGCGAGGACACGGTCGTCGTCGGGGTAAGTCTTTCCCCGGGGTTTTTCTGCAGCCGAGGAGAGTTGCGTTTTGGCTTTTCTTCGCTCGGCTCCGAACTCTTCTTCTTTCGGGAACGTGACGGGGGAGGGGGAGGGGGAGGGGGAAAGACTTGACGAATTTCTCTCCCTCACCCCCCGTCTCTTTAGTCTTACTCCGGGGGGCCCACTGAATGGCGTGCCGCTGCACCGCATTGTACTCCTTTCTCCGTCCATTGTTCCCAACATTAGCTGCTCTAGTGTGTGTGTGTGTGTGTGTGTGTGTGTGTGTGTGTGTGTTTGTGTATGTCGGTTAGAAGTTCTCCAAGGCTTCTTTCACCTTGAGCGCCAAATTTAGCTAAGGGAAGGATTCGGAAATGGAGATTGGGGTGTGGGGGGGGATTCTCTCCACTGCCTGCTTCTCTTCCCTCCCCCTCCCCCCCCACTTGGAAATTGGGTTAAACTCACAAAGGACAAGAACTCTTGCTCTTTTCCAGAGCAGGAATGAAAAGCTTTGGATAAGCAGAGGTATATGTGGTAGGGAATCTCAAACCAAACACAAATCCCTTTGCGGTGTAATGGGAAATCACTTGAGAGGTTTCAATGGGAAATCATTTAGGTGTTCCAATGGGAGATCACTTCGCTGTTTCGGATGGGTGAGAAGTTTCCTTGTTTTGGTGTGAGCATGGGTCCAGAGACACAAAGAGTCGTGCAGTGTGAAGAATAATCTTTTTTTGTTTTGTTTTTTTGTGGCCCAAGTATTGTAGTCTAGCAACCACACTGGGAGACGCGCAAAGCATATCTTGGTTGATGGAGATGGATATCAGTGTGTGTGTGGGGGGGGGGAGGAATGTGCCGCATTAAATGCACGTTTTTAATGTTAATTTCCTTGGCATATTTTATTGAATTGTTTAATGTTTCAGTAAAGGCCAGAATGAGTTCCACTGAAGTCTACCGGGCATATTTATAGATATAGACACAGCTTGGATTGCATTGGTAAGACATCGGGGTGAAGGCTAACATATGGGCAAAAATACATTCTATACCTGCCTGATTTGGATGGCTTCTGCAGAGGGGAATTTTCCTTGCAAAATTGCTCCAGAGTTGAATTTCCTGCTTTCCGTAACTGCAGCAAAAGCAATGGTGGGGAACTGAATGGAGTCAGCCTCGATTGACTCTTTCATCTGCCTTCCCTCATTGCTACTGCAGTCTTCCAATCCTAAGCATTGATCAAGCTGATGTCATCTGGATCACTGGGCATGCTCATTTGCTTGCACCCTGACGTATTTGATGGATTGGCAGGTGGCGAGAAATTGCTAAGCAAATTACAAGTGGGTAGAATAATTCCCTCCTTCTCACCTTCATATCCACCCTTCTGCCATTTCAGCTTGATTTGGTGGCTTGTCTCGGATCAGCACTAACTTCAGTTAAAAGCCTGCCAAGCTGCAGTCTCTGCAGATAAAGGCAGGATGTGTATATACCCTCCCCAGTGACAGTCTTTAGCTGTCTGCTGTGTTCATTTCTTTATCTTGCAGTGCAATCGGTGGAGAATCGCTTTCTCTTAAGAAAAGTTTTACTTTTTATCAGCTCACATGATTTGAATTAATACCAGCTTTGGCTAAAAGTGTTAATTTGTCTGAAATATGCTGGAGGAACGTAATTTTGATTTTTAATTTGATTTGTTAATTGGCTCCCAATAGGTAAATAATTGGGCTTGTTGTCTGAATGGCTCAATCTGCTACCAGAAATTAATAAAAACTTTTAAGTTTCCCCTCATGAATGAGGGTTACTAATAGAAAGACTACTTTTTGAAAACTTGTTTGTTTTCTTGGTAATGCATATGTGCATAAGAAAATGACTGCTCCCTTAATGTGTTGCAGTTTATGCTAGAGAATCTTTACATTGGTTTCGCAACTTCATTTTTAACCTGGATGAAGTTTGCGTCTAGTAATTTGCATGCCTTAAATAACAGTTGCTAGAGATCATCTGTGAAGGAGGATTTATCACTTTTTCATACATTCATGAGCCCCTGAGACTGAGCTGGCTTGCTTCTGAGCTAAACTAAATAGGCTTTTGACCCAACCCATCTCTTTCTTCATGCACTCTTATCTCTCACTGCCTAGCCCTAGACAACGCAAGGTTGGTACATTTAAATGGTCTGTTGGATAGTCCTACTGAGGCATGGGTGCCATGAATCAGTGAATAATGTGTGCAATAAAGTTTTTTTTTTGCCAATAGAAGGCAATATTTGTAGTTCAGGCTTGAAATGAGGGGTCCTTGGTGCTCTGTGTGCTTGGTTGTTTTGTTGAAGTGCACGGATAATGTTACCTACTTTGGATAATGAAATGTCTGGAAGAAAACAACCAAGCTCAGAGAGCACCAAGGATTCCTCAAAGCATTTTTCCTTAATCTTATGATGTGAAAACCTAATTCCTATCCCATTGAGGGGCTCCTTTTAAACCATGTGTCCAATTCAGGTGTGATTTGTGTTACTCTCAAGCTGGAATTTGTTATTTTATATTCTGGCTATCTAATACAGAGGTTGATTTCTGTTCTTTCTAGTAAGCATTTACTCACCTCAACTAGTATAAACATTTTTAGTAACAGTTCACCCCCTTTTAGTTTACAACTAATGATCTTTTCATCCCATCTGTTATCTACAGACAAATTCATAATGCATAATCTTTTCAGTCCTACTGTTAGCAGAAAGTCCATTAAGGGTTACCAGAAATAAAAATATATTTTAACCTTGATCAAATAAATCAACTTTATAATCCTTTTTACTTCTTAACAGTTTTAATCTTTAGTCTGTTCAAAAAACATCACAATTTTATTTCATTTTTTTTGTCCTTTCTCACAAGATTCTTCAAAGCTTTAACAAGTCTCTTTTCTAAATCCATTATATAAAAAAATTCAGGCAAGGTTCTTAGTTTACTATTCCATTTTCCATTTTGATTTTGAAAAAATTAACTGGTTTCTTCTTATGTTTAGTATGACATCCTTTTCCATGTCATTTTTATACCCTATCATTTGTAGATCTACTTTTGATGCCATCTCTGCCTTAACAAATAAAATTTGATCTTCATCTACTTTTTCTTTCATTACGTCTTTTGGACACAGGCTATCCATAGAAGAAAACATAATTATTCACATTGTTGATACTAAGTTCTAACTCCATTTTTCAAAAGTATCATTCAGTATTTTCAAAGTTATAATACTTGATATCATTTTATATATCACAGTTAATAAGCTTTATTGTATATTTTTTCTCCTTTAACTTAACTCTTTAGATCCTTCTACCGACCAACTTTTAAAATTGCTTACTTTTGTTTTGTCTTGAAAATATCCAAACAATTTTTTTTCCCATGAGAATGGTTCTTTATGATTAATTCCAAAATTTTATTCTTAATTTATCTGGATCCTTAATCAATTTGTAACTTTCTAGGATCAAAGTGTTATTTGGGTTTCTGCTCTTTATTTAATTTTTTTAAATTATTATTATAATTTTCTTTCATTAAGGATTGAAGTAAAATGTATCCAGTTTTAGACTTTTTGAGCCAAAGCCCTCTAATAGCTTAGAAGTAGTTAACAAGCAATTTATAAATGTAATTAGAAGTTGTGAACTTAAGTGTCCTTGAGAAAGTGCCAACCACAGTTGTGAGTAAGATGGCTATTCTCATCTCCCAGTTGAAACCTGCTCAGGATTGCTGTCTTGCAGTTTACTTGTAAAAAGCATCTGTTTGGAGCACATCTTCTCCTTATCCAAAGTGATTCAAAAGAATCGCTGTCATCTCTGCTTTTCACAGAGCTGATTTCAGTCCTCATTTTACCTTTCTTAGGTTCAACTTCTGTGGGATAAAAGAATTTATTTATTCCTCTTCATGGAGTAGATAATAATGTTTAGATTTTCTTTTGCATTGTTTGTTTTAGCCACCGTCCCATTTCTAGCTTTACAAGCAAGGCTTGTCATTCTGTATTTAGGAACATGTCACTTATATTTGGCTCCTTTTTCTGACCCAGTTATCATCCCTGCTTCCTTATCTAACATTCACTACTGTCTCTTCTTTCTTTGGCATTAACTTTCACTTGCAGCTTCTTCAATTTAAGATGTAATTATGCTCTTGCCTCTTAATCTATTTCCTGTTTATATATAATTATATTTTTTTCCTTTTAGAGCTGTACAATTATTTTGAATTCTGGTTACATCCGATATGGTTCTTTTTCATACCATTATTTTGTGGGAATGTGTGTGTTGGAGTGAATTAGGTGCTCGGTTGCAGAAGTTAAAATCTTCTGGTCAGTTCCAGTAAATGGTCTATTTTTTTTAAAAAAAAAATATTGTTTCAATTGCTAAAAGAAAGTAAATTACCTATGGTTATTTGAACCATCTTGGGTTGAGGCTGTATTTTATTTATGTTCTGTAATAAATATTCATTGGAATACTGGCTGAAATAGTTTATAAACTGGTCTATAAGAGCCCTGGTGGCGCAGCAGACTAAAGCACTGTTATTAACATCAGCTGCCTGCAATTACTGCAAGTTCAAATCTCACCAGGCTTAAGGTTGACTCAGCCTTCCATCCTTTCTAAGGTAGGTAAAATGAGGACCCAGATTGTGGGGGCAATAAGGTGACTTTGTATAAATATATACAAAAGTATGAAGGCTATTGTTTAACGCATTGTAAGCCGCCCTGAGTCTCCGGAGAAGGGCGGCATATAAATCAAATCCAAACAAAAAACTGTCTAGGACAAAAATGAGATCTAGAAAGTTTCTTCAATGCTGACCTAAACAGTAAACATGCTAGATTATCCCATGCTTAGCAACAGCATTAAAACAGAGATAGATCTTTATAATACTGTGTTTCCCCGAAAATAAGACCCTGTCTTATATTTTTTTGAACCCTGAAATAAACACTTGGCCTTATTGCCATGTGCTCAAAAGCCCAAGTGGGCTTATTATCAGGGGATGTCTTATTTTGGGGAAAACAGGATATTATCTTCTGTTATTAAT